TCTACTGCAAGACAGCTAATTAAATAAGAACATATTTGATAGCAACTGACAGTGCAGCATTCTCACCCAGGTCCCATCATTACTGTCGGAGAGAAAGAGGGAATTAGAAGGTGTATAAATACCATATGGTGTGTGCTGAATTGTCTTGCATTAATGTCAATTATATCCACTGCGAATACATCAAATGTTCTTAATCCTCATTTTTATCTGTTACCCAGCTACAGACATATTCATCTAACGACACATGTAATGCATAAACTCTATATACGTACATACACACTGTTTAGTACAAAGATGCCCTGCAAAATAAATAAATAAACAAGCAATCAAACACAGTGATGTTTATACAAATCTCTCCAACTGGCATACAAAACAAAGATATTATGAAAAGAAACAATTACAATATTTGAATATTTAGATTCAATATCTTTCTTTAAACATTTATCTTAATGGACAATTTCTCACTGTCTCCTCTCTCACTGATTCTGGTCACGGCAGTTCTGTTTCTCAGCTTAGTTCAAAACGCTTAATAGTTAGTAATATTATCAATTTGATGGCACTGACACTATCAGACGAGAACAGAACTGAACAATGACACTATCGTCTTCTGTAGATCTGCTTTATAGTTGAATCAAATTCATTTATAATTGATTAGTTTTGCAACATTGACACTGATAAAAAAGATTTTGTGAAGTAAATACTATAGAAAAACTAATGTAATTTCTACATTAAATAATTTAGTTCAGGCAAGAATAAAAAAAAAGAGTAAATTCTATATTAGTACTCAATTTAAGCTTATAGAAATTAAAGTTTGAACTTTTAAGTATATTTTACTTGGAATTTTTTGATAAGTTTACAAGGACTCTTTAAGTAAATATCAAGGTTATGACGCTGTTGTTCCCATCATGCACTGGGGCATGAATAATAAAAGGGGTCCTATTATGCTTTTTCACTTTTTCAACTTTAGTTAGTCTGTAATGTTGCTGTTCAAGCATAAAAAATCTGCAAAGTTACAAAGCTCAAAGTCCACTTTATTCGAGCCGCTCATGCCAGACTGGGGAGAGAGGTGTTGTAATAACATAAAACATGTGAAAAATAATGTGTTTTTCGAACAACCTAGTATGAGAGCCTGTTCTAGTACACCCCCAAAACAAAATCAAGACTTTGTAAAAGAGCATAATAGGACCCCTTTAATAAGGTAGATTTTTTTCACTGTTTTTAAGTTACACTATTGTATGGTTGCTTTTGTTGTTAAGTTTAGTAACTTGCTGGTTTGTGACATTTGGAGTTCATTTTCTACTCAAAATGACCCTTTAATACTTAAACATTATCCACTGAATGTTACCTTCGTTGTGTACTGTGTACCAAGTATTGAGGTCTCTGTGTTCATTAAATAGCTTGTTATCCTTTTTAAGACAATATATCTACTCAATATAGTTGTCTACTTGTTTATATCTAAATGTTTGAAAGGGAACCACATGCTTTAATAAAATGTTGTTTTTTTCAGTGCTACATTGTTTGAGTAAAGTTTACAAACCTTGACTGTGTGAAATGTACTTGAGACTTAAAATAATCAAGTAGAACTTACTCATCAAACGCTAACTGGCCACGTTAAATTTACATTTACAGTCATTTAGCAGATGCTTTTATCCAAAGCGAAATGAGGACAATGGAAGCAATCAAAATCAACAAAAGAGCAAAGATATGCAAGTGCTATAACACGTCTCAGTTAGCTTAATGCAGTACACGTAGCAAGGTTTTTTTTATTATATAATAAATAAAAAGAAAACAGAACAGAAAAAGAATAGAACAAGCTAGTGTTAGAAGCCTTTTTTGCTTTTGTTAATTGTATAACAAATAAAAAGAAATCAATTTACTTATTTACTTGGCTAATTTTACATAAGAGTTTACTTAATTTCATACTTAAATTTTACTTATTAAATATGGGTGCGAAAACAAGCAAAAGAAAAAATAAGTTCATTTTACTTATTGTTTTTTTTTCAGTGCTGAACTAACTCAAGCCGACACGATTGTCTTCACTTGAGCTGCTCATAGCTCAATCAAACTTGTTTTATAATGGGTGAATTTTACCCAGTTATTGAACTGAACTGAATCAACACTGAACTGACTTGAATAATGACACTACTGTCTTCTTACAGCAGAATTGGGATTTGCCTTGTACTTGATGAATTCTGCATCATTGATACTGCTACTTTCCTATTTCTCATTGTGCAACTGCTTTGAAACCATCTCTATTGTATAAAGCAAAAAAGGTGACTTTACTTTGGTCACTATGAATTGTTGTTTTATGGTGTTTTATAATGGGTGAATTTTACCCAGTTATTGAACTGAACTGAATCAACACTGAACTGACTTGAATAATGACACTACTGTCTTCTTACAGCAGAATTGGGATTTGCCTTGTACTTGATGAATTCTGCATCATTGCTACTTTCCTATTTCTCATTGTGCAACTGCTTTGAAACCATCTCTATTGTATAAAGCAAAAAAGGTGACTTTACTTTGGTCACTATGAATTGTTGTTTTATGAAAAAGAGCTTCAAAAATGCTCCTTTTGAATTCATCCATATAAAAAATATATAGATTTGCAATGACATTAGGATGAATATCCTAATGTTAAAGTAACACACCTTAACTATTTCTTATGACTGTCTCATAAGGGGCATTTTTTTATTATCCATTACATAATGGCTATATAATGAAAGGTTAAAGTGTGGCACTTTAAAAAAGAACGGACCATAAGATGTTCAGATTCTTGCTTTGCAAGTTTTGAGTTTTCCTATATTGGTGTCACAAAGTTAAGTCGCAATATGTGCCTCCTACACACGGCATGGCCCTGTGGCTCCTCTATTGGTTATCATGCAGGGCAGCCTTTATCAATCAATTGAATAAACTGCTTTCATAGCATCTATTGAAAGACAACTCTGACAAGGGGCTAGAAGTGCCTCCACAGCAGTTTTTCCAGCAGCAGGGGGGAGTAAATAAGTAAGAAAGGCAATAACATCAGCCTGGACAGCAGCGCAGCTCTGACACTGCTGTTTGCTTCAGTCTTTTCTCTACCTCAGTGATTCATTCCTCATCCTGATGGGCTCCAATTGACAGCAGTGCATAAAAGTGGACCACTGCTTCTTTTAACTTCTTTTTTATTTGTATTTCATTTATTTGTTTACAGACGCAATATTCATAGAAGCCATGGGGTCTATTTTGCAATTAAGACTGTATCGCCACGTCTGAAATATTTGGCCGCATACATTTACATGTGCCGATGCTGTGTTAAATTGTGTTAAGATGAAAACCCTGTGGCTGAAAAAGTAACCCACACAATTAATTCCAGTTTACAGCCATATGATCTATGACAAAAGTAATACTGAAGGGTTGATACAGACCCTGAACTGGATTGTCAAATGGCCATCGGAGGCCTCTTAAAAAGAACAACATGTCATATTCATAGCTTTACCCAGAATACACTCTGTTATTCTACACGCTTCGGCAATATTAGGCCTCTGGACATCATTCTGTCTTTATTATGTAAATTAATTTAGGGTTGTTCTGAAAGTAATAATGTATGTATGCATAGATGTATAGATTTAATTCATTTATTTAAAAAAATAATTATAATTTCATTATTAATTATTTAATTTTATTTAGTGAAATACAGAATAGGTGATCACCCATCCGTACTGTTCAAATGAACCAGCAAAAAAAAGTCACATTCATGTCATAAGCCACCTTAAACTATGCAAATTAAATATTTAGCAAGAACTGTATACTTTTATACAGCACAGTAATTTTCTGCATCTCCTGGGAAATTTCATCCTTGAATCTTTTCTACGAAGCACATTCCTTCCAGACCACCCATGTTCCAATTAAACATTCAATATTCATTTTCTTAATACAGAATTTCAGTTTGCTGTAGCTGCATGACTAAGTAACTGAAGATTGTCTTGTGTGTTATTCAAATCTTTTGATTCTGAGCTCGTCTGACTACTGATAGAGTTTAAAAGCATGTTTTCACTTTAATAATTAACATTATAAGAACGCTTCTGTACTTCAAAAATGCATTAGTAGTAGTAGCAGCAGCAGTAGTAGTATTATTATAAGAAAAAGCATTGTTATTATTTATAATAATAACAACAGCAATACATTTTTATAATTATTAATTGCATATTGTTATAAAAATCATCATCATCATCATCATAATGATAATTTAATTCAATAATAAGATATAATATTTATAAAATAATAAATTTTTTGTTATTATTATTCTTATTCGTATTATATTGTCTCTGTTATTTTATGGATCAAAATGCCCTTTTCATTGCTAGTGAAAATACAAAATCAAGCACGGATCTTCATGAAAAAAAGAAAGAAAGAAAAAAAAACCTCCAGCTGCCACATTATGTAAAGGATAAACTTGTTCCTTATTTCTATTTTCGCTTGAACTGCCCATCAGGTTAAGATTTGTTAAAATGAGATTCATTTCCTGATAAACCCTCACAGTGAAGAAGTCATCAGGGTGCTTTAAATGTATTCCATGGGCAATTAAGTGCAGCGGAATTTCCTCAGCTAGGACTGATTCTGAGTGATAACGGCAGGTGAAGAGACAGATAATGAGCAGGCCAAGACACACGCGCTTACAGCTCTCTAAAATGACTTCCTGTGCTTTAACCCTGCAGTTATGAATCAACGTGTCACGCACCGCTTCTCTGACACTCTCTACTCCAAAGAAAGAGTGGTCTTGCCAAGGACTAGATGAGAGAGGGATGAAACTTTCAAATGACTGATTGCTAACCGGTATACAAACACAACACAACAGAGCGTATCACATGTGGAGAGGATCAAATGTGTTTGCACTGGTTTCTGTCCTGCAACAAACAAGCTCAAACTCAGATGAGAAAACACATAAACGCCAATAACGACACATACGCACACACAGCAGTCTGCAAACACCAACGAATGTGGCACAAACGGTTACCTACCCACAAATACATCATCATCTTGAACGAGGAGTCAGGGGCTCTCCGGCAGTGAGGAAACACTTCCTTACTTAGCTTCTTTTAACTTCTCGAGCTCGGCTACGGGAACCCGGCTGAATCCTTCTTGTTTCCACTCTCTCAGGCTCACAGTTCTTTTGTATAATTTATTATATCACTATAATAGAGCTTATTAAAACTGACACTTGGAGGAAGTAGAAGCTACTTCACAAGGTTTGAGATGCTTCTAGCAGTCTTGTTCTTGCTCTTCTTCTTTTTTTTTGCTCTTTCTTGCCTTTCCCCACTTGGTCCTCCTTACCCTTTCACTGACAACCCTTGCTTAGACGCCAATTCCTGATGTATCTATTTAATGAGAAGATCCGTGCACCAAGGAAGTCCAGTACAACTGTGCACTCAAAGTGCCAGAGAAAGAGAGAAAGAGAGAGAGAGAGAGAGAGAGAGGAGGGTGATGGTGTAGGTTTCTCTAGTATAGGCTCCACAAGAAAGGTACGTGTACGTTAACACACAGCTGATAGGACGATCCGAAACAGATCTCCCCCCCCCCCCACAGAAAGGACTTTTCCCTCTAACAAAATGCTGCTCAGATCCTCAGACGCTGTCGTCCGGAAGCTGATGTGCAGGGGAAGACATCAGTGGGAAATCAAAAGACTCATCTTCTGTCCTGAGGGAAGGTAAGAAGACAACTGACCGAAAAAAATAAGCTTGCAACTTCCTCCAAAAAATACTGCAATCTCAGCTCTGAGAGATTCAAGTAAATAAAAAAGCGATGTGAAAAAAGATGTGAAAGAAAAAAAAATACAACGGGATGAAAAGGAGACAGAAAGCACCTCTCTCTCCTAAATGAGGAGCTAATGTGTTGGAGATAAAAGCAGCGTGTACTGGGGCCAAGGCCTTCCCGCTCGGGTTGCTCTGGCTCTGACGCACTGGCTGCCTCCTTACAGCATTTTCTACAGCCATCTGCTGACTCCACCACGCTACTGCTACTGAGAGACCAGACACGCAGCCAGCTAAAGCGCAGCCGGAACTATCTAGAAAAGCGCATATGCGGCTTAAACTAATTACTACTGTTCAGAAGAGGAATGGGGTTTCTAATCAAACACAGGTATTAGAGAAACTCGAGAGTAACAGAAAACAAAAAAGAGAACCTTTTTGTAAATGGATTTCAAAAGGGAAATGGAAATTTGAGCAAGGTCCATTTTTTTGTTTTATGTGTGTGAGACACAAACGCAATGAGATCTGCCAGTGTATTTATGAGGGAAATTAAATTCTGAGGGAAATTTGAATATTAAATTCTCCTCGGGAAGCAATTTGACTCCCCTTTAAAAGGAAAACAATAAAAAAAGAAAAGTACAACCGTCACAACAAGACAGAAAGAGAGTGTGAGGACAAACAATTAAGCTAAAGGCTCAGACTCGGGCCCACATACAGCAAATACACACACACACATATCAAATCAAGCAATAAGGCTGCATTAAAGTGATTTGCCACAGGTAAGGGATTTTCTAAGGCATAACTCAAAGCATAGACGGCACTAATGCTCAAAAAATAAATTACATTTCACAATGATAACAAATGGAATATGGTCATTCCTGTTATGCAGTGTCTTTTGAGATTTAACTCATTAAAAACATAGTTTTTAAAAGTATTTTATACATATAGCTTTTTTATTTATTTATTTATTTTTTATCTTATTTATTTATTTATAAGGGTATCTGTATTCTTATCTTAAATACTAAAATACTAAAAAAAGCACAAAAAACCATGAAATTTATTGTTAGAACTTTTTGATTGATTATGACTTGTTTGTTCTGTTGTTTTCTCAGCAAAAATTATGTCACTTCCAGGAGGATGATGTCATTATGGAACTGGCTTATGTTAAAGGGATATTACAAAATACTGACAGGATGGAAAATTATATTGTGGTCACAGGAAAAAAAGAAACAGTAATTTAAACATTTTTTATATATATAATTTCTATTTAAGAAAGGAAAATAAAGAAACAAGTATTTCTTAATGAATTAAAAGTGTTAAATATTTTAGTTAATATATTAAGAGACATGGCAGGAATGACTGGCATTGACTGCTGCTCATTTCATAAGATTTTAGTGTCAGAACTATCCGACAATATTAAATAAATATACCACATTTGCAACGAGATGAAATGGTTTTCTTTCGAATGAAACGATTAGTACAGAGAGATCCGGTCAATACTCCGAACAACATTCTGAAAACAATAAATTATTGTTGACATATTAAACAAAGATAAATGGCAGGTACAATGTAAAGCCCATTGTTTGTGCACCCGAGCAAAAACGAACATACTTCAGCATACAATTCTGTTAAACCATTTTACTTCGGGGCAAGAAAGGTCTAATGGTCATGGGAACTGAGTGCCGCTTATACTGACATGTCCATTTACATGGAGCAGACTGATCCAGCTGCCGTCTTCTTGCTCTGATTGTGCCCTTTAACCCAATTAAAAAGCTACAAGTCTATAATAGTAGCTAAACGGTCTTAAAGCAGTAGTGCATCTCATTTGTTTAGATTATGACAAAAACATAACCTACAAACAAAAAAAGAAAAAAAGAAAAAAGGTAGTATTGCTAAGTACATCATGCTTGAGCCTTCTCAAATAATCTAAATTAAAGGCAAGCTACCAAAAAGCACTTCTGAAACAACTGTCCTCAGTCTCATGAATGATGTGTGTGTGTTTTTAATATTTTCAAGAGCCAAATCAACATAATAATAATAATAATATCATCATCATCATCATTTTAAATACATAAATATAAAAACATATACATATATTATATATAAATAACATTTATAAATAATAGTATAGTATATTTTTAAATATATAATAGTTTTTCAATATTTTCATATTTCCAAGAGCCAAATTATTATTATTATTATTATGTTTATGTTTAATTTGCCAAGAGGCCAATGCATATTTAACACTACATACTGTATATGTCATTACTGGTTTAGTCCATATTTATTGCTCTAATTTCAAAAGAAATGAAAAATATATGTATCATTAAAAAACAAATTAAGAAAATAGTTGCTAGGAAAATGAGAGTGATGTGTGTGTATGAATAGGAAGGTCTGTGCATTAATCATATCAGCCCTATCAGACTTAAAACCCTTCAACAAACCATGATAAATTACAGCACTGAGAGGGGACTGCATGGTGTACACATCCCTCCCATGATCCTGCAGGGCTGCACATACACAGTGTGTGCTCTGTGAGCTCAAGGCAGAGCCGGCAGGACACATGGTCATCCCTCCACACAGATGTGGTGTTTCTGAAGAAGATGAAGATCTTTGGGAGGGTCCTCATCAGGAGTGAAGCTGACACATTTGCTACCCTGGCTTTTCAGGCCAGTGAGTGAGCAGAAGGGTTTGAGAGCCACTATTAAAGTTTAATGAGAAGGCACGGTAAGCTTTGTTGTATTTTTAATATGGACACAGCAGAGTATGAGGGAATAACAGGTTTCTGTATGAGAGTAAAACTGAAGGGCTTCTTTTTTTGCCTATTGATTTAATATCATCATCTTCTCAGCTGGAGATGCTGAAATGAACATGAAGGATACACACAAATTCATTCTAAAGTCATTGTGATGAAATAATTTTTCTTTACATGAATGAATCGCAGTTTTATGATCGCCATGGATTGATTAATTAAAAGGTCAATACCAACAACATCCAGAAGCACAACAGCGACACAAAAAGCACACAAAAACACAGACACACACAAAGCAGCACCGAAGCATCACTTACCCTGAGCTGGTCTGTATCACAACTCATTGGTTGTCCTGGAATCTGTCAACAGAGACATACAAATTAGAGTAACACATTACACACCAAATACAGCACCTCCCTTCAGTAATTACAAGTCAATCATCGAGAGCAGGCTGAGAGGAGAGAAAATGAGATCTGTCAAAACTGAGGTTTGCAACATGGAACCATGCAAAAGGTGGTGAGAGCAGGGAATAAGACAGGCAAGACATCGTTCCCATGCTAGAAATGGTACACATAACAATATTTTTCTATTTTTTTCTCAAATAATGGGAATGGTATAGAGCAAGTGGTTCTCAACTGGTTTTGCTTCAGGACACAGATTCTAGATTTGCATTCAAGTGGCATCCCAATACAGTACCAGGATTGTACCAAACTAAAACATATCCATACTGAAATCACTTGATATCAAATTACCAGTGAATTTATATATATGATAATTTAGGCTGGTCATACACAAAAACCTATTAGAATTTAATGGTTCACCCAAAAATTAACATTCCGTCATCATCCACTCACCCTCAAGTTGTTCCAAACCTGTTTGAGTTTCTTTCCTCTATTGGGAACAAAATAATATATTTTGAAGAAAAACAGTTGACGGTAGCCATTGACTTGCATAGTATGGACAAAATACTATGGAAGTCAATGGCTACCGTCAAATGTTTGGTTACTAACATTCTTCTTGTTTTTGACAGAAGAAAGAAACTCATACAAGTTTGGGACAACTTGAGGGTGAGTAAATGATGACAAATTTCATTTTGGGTATTCCTTTGGGTATTATTTTGATTTAAAACAACTGTTTGTAAAGGTTAAAATCGGTAGTAAATCTGCAATTTTGTTTTAAATCTGCAATAGTTGACAAATAGTTTTTCCACTGTAACATCAATGTTACAGTCATTGGATGCGACATGCACTTTTACAAGTTGTTTGAACTGAAATGTGTGTTGGCAGTGTGTGTACACAATAGGGGTTGAACGACTTCTGTTTTTTTAAAGTCGACTTTATGTGATGAAAGTCGAGTCGAAGTCGACTAGTCGCTGATGACGTCATTAATGAACAAATAAGTCTGGAGCTGTGATAAACACCTTGTGCACAGCTATGGCATATGACACAGCGCTGCCCACATGGCTATTGCTCCTATAACAGCTCATTTTTATCAGTTATTTTGTCTTTGGGTCGTTATATTTCTCTCAGGTTTCTGCTTGTTCTAAATCAGATACAGATAAAGTAGCACAATAAAGATTACATTCATATGAATACATTAGTGAGAGCGATTGCAGGTGTGAATTCATTCTACCTGGCAGCGTCTCTCTACTAGTAGTGAAGCTGTGGGATTTAGTTAAGAAATATATGCTTGAACTTTTCAGTTTCTAAGCTATTTTATTGAGAAATCAGAGAACAGTGTTGACAATACATTTCTGCACTGAATGATTCTGTGCGCGTGATGTACGAGCTACTGTCTGTAGCCTATGTGTGTGCGTTACAGTGCAGCAGCGCATTAGATTAGAACAGCGATTAACTTACCTGTACAATAAGCTGTTTAAAACGTGCATTCTCCCGTTCAATTTCGAGCATCCAGTAATATAATCACAAGTCTTGTGGAGCGCTTTCAGAGTATTAACCAATCGTCGATATAATTGAGTATGCGGATGCCCTGGAGACGCAGTGGAGCCAGAGCAGCATCCACACACTTC